GCCAGTCCCTCGTTGCACAGCCCCCTTCACTCATCTGACGGTAACCACATAATTAAAGACGACTAAAGGCCGCCTTCAGCACTGGAAAGAGCACTACCATTCATTGCTCAACCGAAACACCGATGTGGATGTCCTGACTACCCAGCAGGTCCCTCAGCATCCAGAGCTGACCCACCTCAGCTATCCTCCATCCCTGGATGAGGTAGCTAATGCCATCAAACAGATGAAAAATAATAAATCCCCAGAGCCTGATGAAATCCCAGCTGAGGTGTATAAAGCAGGAGGATATCTACTTACCAGCCGTCTCCACTCTCTCCTGGAGAATATATGGGAAAAGGAGGAAATCCCCAAGCTCTTAAGGATGCCTCCATTGTCAATATTTATAAGAACAAGGAGGAACCTGTCAGATTGTGGCAACTACCGTAGGATCTCGCTTCTCTCTGCAGCTGGCAAGATTATAGCCCGAGTCCTCCTAAACGTATTTTTTCCTTAGGCGGAAAAATTCCTCCTAGAATCTCAATGTGGTTTTAGACCATCACATGGCACCACTGACATGATCTTTGCTGCCCGCCAGATTCAGGAAAAGTGCAGAGAACAGCGTCGTGACCTGTACATGGCTTTCATCGACCTAACCAAGCCCTTAGACTAAGTCAATAGGGAGGCCCTCTGGTGTACCCTCAGTCGTTTTGGCTGCCCACCAGAAGTCAACGCCCCCATCCAAACAGGGGTTAAACAAGGGTGTGTACTGGCTCCAACTTCTCTTTTCCAGTCAAGAACAAATGTGTCGGCAGCTTCCATTACTGAACATCAGTATGCAGACAACCTCACCGTTGTTGCTCACACTGAACACAACCTTCAGGAGATCCTGGACACCTATGCAGACGCGTATGCACACTTCAGCCTTGAGGAGAATGTACGTAAGGCTCGTCTAAATTATTTTATCTTATTATTTTTTTTCTGATTTTAGTTTTGTAAGTAGGTCTCTCGTCATATTTATCTGTTTTAAATTATAATGCTTTTTATTTTTTAAATTTGCGGAAGGTAAATTTTTATAATGTTACGTTTTGATTGTATATCACCTGTATTTCTTAAAACTTTTTAATACTTTTTGTTTTCTAGGCTCCGATGACGGAAAATAATTTTTCGAACGTTAGTGATTAAAGAAACCCAAATTAGTCAAGATGTTTGTGTTTTCCCTGGTTCTCCTCTTCGTTATGAAAGTACGCTTTTCACGTAACAAGTCCATTGCTGAAGTTATATATATATATATATATATATATATATATATATATATATATATATATATATATATATATATATATATATATATATATATATATATATATATATATATATATATATATATATATATATATATATATATATGACATCTCAGAGGCCTCTGAAGATGTCTTGAATAAAGACGAAAGCTAAGGTACCTGTTGTTTCCATTTTCCGTGATTTTATCAAGATTTATCTTATCCACGTTTTCATTGTGGATTTACATGAAATATATATATATATATGTATATATATATATATATATATATATATATATATATATATATATATATATATATATATATATATATATATATATATATATATATATATACTGAAATAATCGGTCGTCAGTCATAATTGTAAATTATTTGTATTGGCTCTACGAATTTTCAAAAAAATTATATTTACAAATAATATTAAAACATTAATATGTAATTAAACCATCTTCTGTTGGTAAAGTATTTAACTGGTTCATTTAAAATGATTTATGTGAGTTATCAATGCTAAAATACAGAAGTGCAGTTTATGATCAAAGATGATCCTGAGCAGGAGTGACTCACAGTACCGCTGGGTGTCAGGGTCAACAATCTACTGTCTCCCACACCGGGTGTCAAGGTCAACTTTCTACTGTCCCCCACACTGGGTGTCAGGGTCAACTATCTACTGTCCCCCACACTGGGTGTCAGGGTCAACTTTCTACTTTCCCCCACACTGGGCGTCAGGGTCAACTTTCTACTGTCCCCACACTGGGCGTCAGGGTCAATCTCTACTGTCCCCACACTGGGTGTCAGGGTCAACTTCTACTGTCCCCACACTGGTGTCAGTCAACTTTCTTTCCACACTGGGCGTCAGGGTCAACTTTCTACTGTCCCCCACACTGGGCGTCAGGGTCAACTTTCTACTGTCCCCACACTGGGTGTCAGGGTCAACTTTCTACTGTCCCACACAGGGTGTCAGGGTCAACTTTCTACTGTCCCCCACACTGGGCGTCAGGGTCAACTTTCTACTGTCCCCACACTGGGTGCCAGGTCAACTTTCTATTGTCCCCACACTGGCTGTCAAGGTCACCTATCTACTGTCCCCACTGGGTGCCAGGGTCACCATCTACTGGCCCCACACTGGGTGCCAGGGTCACCTATCTACTGCTCCCCCACACTGGGTGCCAGGGTCACCTCTACTGGCCCCACACTGGGTGCCAGGGTCACCATCTACTGTTCCCCACACTGGGTGTCAGGGTCAACTAAATACTGTTCCCCACTGGGTGCCAGGGTCACCTATCTACTGTCCCCCACACTGGGTGCCAGGGTCACCTATCTACTGTCCCCCCACACTGGGTGCCATGGTCAACTATCTACTGTCCCCCCACACTGTGTGCTAGGGTCAACTATCTACTGGCCCCCACACTGGGTGCCATGGTCAACTATCTACTGTCCCCCACACTGGGTACCGGGGTCAACTATCTACTGTCCCCCCACACTGGGTGCCAGGGTCAAGTATCTACTGTCCCCCACACTGGGTGCCAGGGTCACCTATCTACTGGCCCCCACACTGGGTATCAGGGTCACCTATCTGCTGATCTCTACACTGAAGTCCAATGTGTCCATTAGTTATCATACAGGTTCAGCGAGTCAACCAATTTATACAAGGAACCAGAGCAAGTACCGCTCACCCTTGCCTCTCCAACCTTGCACACATTCCAAGATGTAGAACTGTAAAACTGGACTTGATTTCTCCTTTGAAGGATCAAGCAACATCTGGTGTCTTACTGACTTTCATGTGATTTCAGACCAAGTACAGTAGTTAAATCTACTATCTGTGCAGGTGGGGGTCGATATGCTCCGAAATTTTACTTGTGACTAGTGACAGCCCTCATATACCAAAAATTATCGTCCATGGTCTCATATTGTTTCCCGCAAAGTATGCACAGATAGTTGTTTTAGCTACTGTGCATCTGGCGGGTTCTGTTTACCGAGTGTTATTCCGTACTATTACAAAGTCAGAGGATTCACAGCTCGACTTTTCCTCCACGGTTACGGTGGCTGTGATGGTGGGGCTTGTTGGTGGTGGTGGTGCGGGGAAGGGTGGTGCGAGTGGTGTTGGCGGGGGTGAGGTTGGGAGTGGTGGTGGAGGAGGGTTGGTGGCGCGGCGGTAGTGGCGGGGGTGGTGAGGAGGGAAGTGGTGTCCGTCAGTGAATAAACTGCCAAAGCATGTCAAGTGAACCTCTGCCCAAACCGGCCGTGTGTCAGGAAGAGCACCAGAATGAGGTTATTACATATTTGTCTTGTACTCGATTCATCACTAAGTAGAAACTCTCTGAGAGTTTTCTGACCTCATGTTGAACTCTTCTCTATGCTTGAACGATCATTTGCGCTGCAACTTTATTCTAACATTATTTTGTGCCTTGTGACGAAAAAATCATTGCATGTTATAAGAACAGATTCCACAGGGTTTTGAAAACAGCATGTATCACTGAGTCTCATACGTATTCTTTGGGTGTTTCTTATTAACTGTTTCGTCCATTAAAGACGACCATATGTGTCTTAATAAACATAAATAGATCAGTTGAAACACAGAACATATCACCTCATCAAAATAATACTTACAAATTCTACAACAGTGATATTGATGTCCTCTGTCATTCTTCTGAAGAACTTTTATTATATGGTAGTACAGTACAAACTTGTTAAGTATTGCATGATTACTGTATAGCCTTAAAAGTGTTGACTTATATACGGGAGGTTTTTTACAGTCTTAAATTATGTTATTTTTCTCATTATTTTCCTCCTACGACATCCTCAGACAGTGGAATTCTCCGTAAATTCAAACTCTGTTATATAATCGTTTCGTCTTCAACTGAAAATACAGTTCCTTGTTGCCCAGAGAACTGACAGCGTTTATTAATTACAACATCTAGAAATTTTTCTCTGTCGTATTATCAAATTTCCTGTAATCCCGCCTTGTTTATCTGCATCGGAGTTCACTAGAAAGATCCTGGAATCAATTTCTCATCTACTTCCATTTTAAACTCCTTGTCAAAATATGTTTATCGTTTTTGTTTTGTTTTTACTCTTTAGGCGACACACTGGTCACTGCTCAGCCTGTCATAGAAACATTGATGAGATTCCATGAGTTTGAAAATCCTCCCCGTTACCTTTTGTTTCCCTCATCATCTCTTTTATATTTTCGCCCCCCAGGCCCTGATGTGGGTCAGTGACCTGTGCCTGGGTGGGCTAATCCCCGAAAAAATAAAATAAAAAAGTAAGAGTCTCGGATATATGGCAAACCACCAGGCAACGTCTAAAACCCAAAATTAAAAAGTCTTCTCTACTATTGTGTCCGAGGGAAACTCTTCATTAACTGTTTACCTGGAAGTCTGATGAATCTCTGTCGCTTTTGTCGAGTGTGTCTCCCCCAAGTAAAAACAAGCGTATGCGGTACAAGTAATGATAATGAAGCAGTGTGGTGGGGTCGAATTGGGTGAATGACCTCTAAGTAAGTTAGTAGTTGCCTCTATATCCTTAATTCGTTTGTTGATTGCCTCATGTGCTTGTAGAGGGTTGTTACTCCCTCGTTACTACAGCTGGCCCCATCTCATTACTTCTGTACGTGGAGGTCGTGGTTTCCTGCGCAAGGCTGAAAGTGATATTCCTGGAGTGGTTTGGTGTTGCTGGAAACATCTGGCAGTCGAGAACACTTCTGGTTGGGGTATATAACAGCGACCTCAACTCAACGAGGGAACAACTTCGATGTTGAGTCTTCATGACATTTTTGAATCGTGCGTCTCCAACCTGCCAGACAGACAGACAGACAGGCAGACAGCTCTTCCATCCATCCATCCATCCAGCAAACCCAGCCAGACAGCAGCCAGCCAGCCAACCAACCAACCAAGCAGCCAACCAGTCATTCAACCGCTAGTCAACCAGCCAAACTTTGAAGTCACTCCACCCCGCCATTTCAAGGTAAAGTCACCCCAACTTCTTCTTACAAGTGTGCAGAAAGGTGTAGCAAATGACCAAACAATAAAGTTAAGACCAGATCCTATCTATTAGTTACTTCAATTTCTTCCTCTATTTATTAATATCCAACCCTCCTGCCTCCCACTAAACCCAACCAATCAATTAGAAACCAATTACTCATTCAACCATAACAGATGAAGACCTGGATGTTGCTCCTGCCGACGACGCTGGTGTTGATCATCTCGCTGGACGTCGCCCGATCTTTTGAATGTCCTGAGTCAGTCAAATCTGACTGTTTAGAGACACAAAATAAGGAAAGGGTCGTGGTGGCCCACCCGACCGACTGTAGCAAATACTGCAAGTGTCTTGGAGGTGATCCACAAATCACTTTAGAGAGACAATGTGATCTAAACAATCTTTGGGACACCATGAAGAACAAATGTATTTTGAAAATTTTTGTAAGTGAAAGAGAAATATATATATATATATATATATATATATATATATATATATATATATATATATATATATATATATATATATATATATATATATATATATATATATATATATATATATATATATGTATATATAAAGAAAGAGAGAAAGAGGATTCTCTCACTCATAATGAAGCATTATACACATGAATTTTCTACTAAAAGAAATATAACCTCAAAATTAACAACATAAATCCTTCACTTGCACAGCTTACCCTTTTATATGTATAAATATAAATATATACTGTATATATATATATATATATATATATATATATATATATATATATATATATATATATATATATATATATATATATATATATATATATATATACTGTATATGGCTGAAATATGCCATACGCATATAACGTGATATATCTTTTTTTTCAGGTTGACTGTGGCCGTCGTCTTATACCAGGGAAAAATAACTAATGAACCTCTTGATAATGTTCCTCGTCAAGGCCATCCTTCAAGACCCTGCCAATCCTCGTCAAACTGCATGAATAATTATCGTGCCGATCCTCCAACGCCTACACAAAATGCCGTCAAACTTCACAATACGACATCAAACTGTGCATCAACAACTCCATCAGACTGCACACCACCCCCATCAAACCATGCAACAACACCCTCATCAAACTACCTAGCAACAACCCTGTTAAACTGTACAGAAACACCCCGTCAAACTGTGCAGTAATACCCCGTCAAACTGTGCAGTACTACCCCGTAAAATTGTGCAGTAGTACCCCGTCAAACTGTGCAGCAATACCACCCCAATCTGTGCAGTAGTAACCCGTAAAACTGTGCAGTAATACCCCCGTCAAACTGTGCAGTACTACCCCGCCAAACTACACGACAGCACCCACCATAGAACTGCACAGCAACATCCTTGCCATACTGCACATCAACACCCCTGTCAAATTGGGCATAAATTCTTCACCAATCTGTCCATAAATATCCACGTTAAATTGTTCAGTTTCAACCCCGTCGAACTGCGCATTACCCACGTCCTATATCGGTATATGTAATGTTCTGAAAAAGCTTTGGTTAATGGTTAAGTGCTTTTAATTAACTGTATATATCAATATCGTTGTTATTATTATTATTATTATTATTATTATTATTATTATTATTATTATTATTATTATTATTATTATTATTATTATTATTACTATTTTTATTATTATTATTATTATTATTATTATTATTATTATTATTATTATTATTATTATTATTATTATTATTATTATTATTATTATTATTATTATTATTATTATTATTATTATTATTATTGTCAACTTAATGTTACTGTCACTATACAATGCAAAACACATGAAAAAATTTTCATTTTGTTTTTATATTTCACATCCTTCAAAGTCAACCATATTAATTTGTAGATACACAATAATATGCAGTCATAAAAGGCAAGATATATTTGTACACATGATGAATAATAAACTTACAAGCAATTGTTTAACATGAAATCTTGATCTAGGTTAGATTAAGCTCAGCAATGTTAATTTTGTTGACCCTGCAATTGTGTGTAAATGAGGCAGAAAGACAGATCAGCAACCTGGGACTCGGTCACAATTTTCGTGGTGCCATATGGCAGCAGGGTCTACCATTAGACAACACATTATCCTTCAAATATTTTCCCAGGCGGTAGTACCTCCCTGTTTGGTAGCTGCCTACTACCTACTACCTACCAGGTGTCCCTAATGCGCCCTTTAAGATCTGGTATTGGCAGTGCTGCCCTCAAGCTGGCCATATCACTCTCCAGAGTCTAAGAATCCATCACTGGGGCCCGCTTAAGAAATTGAACAGACCAGATTAGGGGCCTAGAAGACATCAACTTCAGAAACAAGGAGATAACCATCTTCAAGGTAAAACTCTCTTTTTTGTTGTTGTAATGAACCAGTCAAAGCCGTAGAAATTATTGATGAACTCTCCTTACTCAGGGATGATTATATAGAGCTCACCTTACTGTGTGCCAAATTCGGGCCGTTTAGTTTAAATGAAAAAAAAATCATATCAGCAACACAACAGCTTAGCAACAGGGTCACCTCTCAGTGCTGTGGCAGCCTGCCTGTTCATGGAAATATGAGAGCAAACCCACTATGAGAAGACCAACAGCAGGGGAGCTACTTGGCTCAGATACGTCGATGACAGATTTTTATCAGAAAGAACAAACATACAAGAAATCCTGAGGAGAACTACAATGCCCACGAAAAGATACAGTTCACTAAAAAAATGGAAGGGAAAGAAGACGTCCTTTCTTATAACCGTTATCATAAGGACGGACGGGAGACCAAGATACAAGATTTTTAGAAAACCAACCAACAACGAAAACTTCATGCACTAACTATCACCTCATAGTGACAGGAAGAAAACAAGTTTTGTGACTGGATATTTTTCTACGGGCTCAAAGAATTTTTTTTTATTTACTCATTTTATTTTATTTTTTATTTTTTTTTTATGAGGAATAGCCCACCAGGGCACAGGTCATCAACCCACAACAGGGCCTAGGGGACGAAAAAATAAGAATAGAAAGAAATTAAAAAAAGAAAAGGAAAAGGTTATATTAATCTACACCACGAAGATGCCGGAAAACCAGCTTTTTAAAGTGAAACAGATTGTATGAGTGTGGAAATACAGGAGAAGGCAGAGCATTCCACAGTTTGGCTGTGTGAGGAAAGAAGAATGTACTATAACGGGTTATTCTACTGTGACTGACATCCACAGAGAAATAGTGGGCACCGCGGGCAAGACGTCTGTTACTAGCCCACGGCCTCGCCGGCGGTACACAGGATGCCAAATCCATAGGATATTGCCCGTTAAAGTACATGTAAAAGAGAGAGAGTGAAGCAACATTGCTGCGAAGAGAAAGGGAAGAGAGATTGTCGACTAAAGGAGGAGAGTTAATAAGACGAAATGCCTTTGATTCCACCCTATCTAACAGTTGGACAGAAGAAGAGCCACCCCAGATATGAGAGCAGTACTCCAAGTTAGGACGAATGAATCCCTTATATACTTGAAGCAACTGCTCAGGAGTGGAGTAACTACGGCATCTACACAGCATTCCTAACTTTTGGGAGGCAACTTTAGCAATGTTGAGGATGTGTGGCTTCCATGATATATTAGAGGAAATGGTGAGGCCGAGCATATCTATTTTAGAATTTGGCAGAATGATTGTGTCCTGAAATGTGATTGGTGGGAGATCATCTAATTTGAAAAGTGCAATTGGTAAATACTGATTTTTATTACTATTGAATTTAACCAAGTTTCTACCTCCCCATTCGGAGATGCTGCAGAGATCCGCATTGGTAGATGTAATGATATCAGCCCTAGAAATAGATCTAGTTTGAGGGTTAAGGGGAAGGGGAAAATGTGAAGAAGAGTGATGAGTAGAAGAATCATCAGCGTAAGAATGGACAGAATTAGTTGTAGTGTGACGTAAATCGTTGATAAAAAGAAGGAAGAGAATAGGTGAAAGAACAGAACCCTATGGGACACCACTATTGGTAGAGAAAAAGCGAGAGGTCAATCTCTCTACAACAACTGCCATGGATCAGTTCTCAAGGAAGCTAGAGATGAGAAAACAAAGTGGGGGAGAGAAACCATAAGAGGGAATTTAAGAAAGCAAAGACTTGTGCCATACCCTGTCAAATGTTTTGGAGATTTCGAGGGCCACGACGAAAGTTTCCCCATAATCCCTAAGAGAGAATGACCAAGGATGGATGCATTAGGAGAGCAGATCACCAGTAGATCTCGCCTGGCGAAAGCCATACTGGTGATCCGACAAAAGAGTATGGCGTTCAAGGTGACGGAGAAAATAGGTGTTCAAGATAGTTTCGAAAATCTTAGAGAGGGATGAAGTTAGGGCAATGAGGCGATAGTTAGAGGGATTAAAATGGTCACCCTTCTTCGGGATGTGCTGAACCGAGGCATGCTTCGTAGAAGAACGAAAAGTTTGGGTTTTGAGGCAAAGGCGAAAGAAGCGAGCAAGCACAGGGGCCAGAACTTCAGCACACCCCCTCAGAACACGAGGGGGTATTCCGTCCGGTCCATGAGCCTTACTCACATCCAACCTGGATAACACACCAGCAACCCTACGAGTGGAGATTATAGGAAAGTGCATAGGTTCAGTAGGAGGAGTAGGGGTCGGAGGGATGGAGTTGGAATCGTCTAAGGTGGAGTTAGAGGAGAAGGTGCCAAAGAGATTGGCTTTTTCAGGGGGGAGCTGTCTATAGAGTTATCAGGTCGGAAGAGAGGAGGAAAAAGTGGAGTGCAAAAGTCATTACAGATGTGTTTGGTTAAGGACAAGAAGGATTTAGTAGAGGAAGAATTAGTCAGGACATCAGTCTCTCTTTTTATAAAATTCCGCTTGGCCCGACGAAGAATAGCCTTACAACGATTCCTAGAAGTAATGAAAGAGGAGTGGGTAACAGGAGAAGGAGATAGTTCATAGTTTGATATGCCCTATCTCTCTCCCTGCATGCAAGAGAGCAGGAGCGATCAAACCATGATTGTGAAGTGAAAGTTTTGGTAGAAGATGGGATAAATGTACTCATACCACCCTGAATAACCCCAGCAATGCTGCCAGCACATAGCGAGGTGTCCCGAGTGGAAAAGCAACATTCATCCCAAGGAAAGTCGGTGAAGAATTCTCGCAAGGATTGCCAGTTTGCCCTCCGATAGTGCAATAGTTGATGTTTAGAGGGGGGTGAGGGAGTTGGTCGTGCCTGGTTGGTTTTAATAGAAATATGATTGTGGTCAGTAGAAATTGAGTATGAATAGTGTGAGGGGTTAGAGGTAAAACAAAGATCAAGAATGTTAGCAAATTGATCGTGTACATCGGGAAAGCGTGTACGGTGTTTGATTATTTGTTCCAAATCATTAAGTAAGGAAAAAGAGAGTGCCTCAGCTCCACCTGGGTCACCCATTGCAGAGCCAAACCACTCTCTGTGAGGTACATTAAACTCCCCTAGGTAGAGGATCTCGATGTTGGGGTGTGTGGATAGCAACGACTCATGGCAAGAAGTGAGACAGTAAAAGCGTTCCACATAGTTGGTAGGGTTGGGAGAACAGTATAGGAAACAAAGAAAAAAAATGTTACGAGTGTCGGTATAAGAACCAATGAATAGATTACTGGTCCTCATATGAACTTCAATTGCTTCATTGTGTAGACACTGAAGTAGTTAAAACTTAGATATTATATGTTATACTTGAAATGTAGTAATATTAGTTTCGATGTGTTAGATAAAACAAAGTAGTGTATATTGCATTAGTCTCGAATACTAATGAATGAGTGAACGTTCGATAGTTATTTGCGGATTCGCAATTTGAACCTCTGCTCGCTTAGTTTTACCTCTCAAAGCCAGGTGGCTTTAGTATTGGGCTGGCAGTCATAAGGTAAGTATCTCCTCTCCTATTGTATATTTCTAGTTGTATAACGTGTAAACCTTGCTCGACCTTTAAGAACACCAAGTTTTATATCGTGATTTATTTGTAAGAGTGTGGGTAGTCATATTTCAGAATTCCACGGTAAAATAACTTACTTGTTTATGAGTTACGTGCGTTGGATAACCACATTGTCCACGGCAGTTTGTTGATTTAAATAAGTGTTTGGTTATTACTTCTATGATTATTATTTTGTCATTCGGTTGAAACACTTGTTTGATCAGATTTAGTTTGTCTTTGTTTTATTTTTGTACATAACTGATATATTTAGTTTTTGTTTGTTAATATATGTAATTAAATATACTTAATGATTTACAATATACCCCATAGTAATGAGGTGGTGATTTGGTGGGATCTATTGCTTGGACCTTCGATACAAAGCTAAACATAATTATAGAGTTAAATAAACTTTAAGAGTAATACAAAGTGAAGTTGAATTTGAATTAAATTGTTACAACCTAAGAGGCCAAGGTCGTAACAATAGTCATAGTTGGTAGAGATATTTTGAGCCAGATGACATCATAAAGTGAGGATTCAAGATCCGTGAGTCGAATTATAGGTGTACGTGTGTTGCAGTAGGGGCATACACCTCCCTTAGAACGGAAAGAAGTATAAAGGTTGTAGTTGGAGACTTGAAAGCTTTGGGTGAAG